GCTGTCAGCTGCTGCACCCAACCGCGATTTGGCGCCAACCGCCGTTGCTGCTGCGGCCCGCGCCGCGCGCGCCGTGCAGAGCGCATCAAGGCGTGGAACAGCGACAAGTTGCCCATCTACGAGCCTGGGCTGGAGGAGGTGGTGAATGCGGTGCGCGGGAAGAACCTGTTCTTCTCTACGGACACCACCAAGCACCTGGGCGAGGCTGACATGATTTTTGTCAGGTGCGCAATTGGCTGGGCGCACATGGCCATGGGTCGCCTCCCATGCGGTTGCATGCGCTCACAGAATGCATTGCATGGGCGCACAACGCGGCACACACGGTAGTGAAGAGCTGCATGTAGGGCGCGTGTTGACGTGTCGAGGTGTGAGGCAGCACCCCTTGCAACTGCTGCATCTGTGCTGCTGGCTGGTCTGAGCAGGCATCCACGGCTGCATCGGCGGCAGTGATGACAGCCAGCGCGGTGAAGGCAGCGACGACGTCATAGCAGCCCCACTGGTAGCAGTCCATGTCGGTCAACAGATTGCTGGCCGCAGTCCGTAGAGAAGCAAACGCGTTTGGCAGGTCAAGCGAGTGGTGCCGCATCCCACATTGTTTGTGTCTGGTACCTTGAGCGCTTTTCTCTCATGCGCTGCGCACGCCGCCGTCCTCTCAACCCCCCCAGCGTCAACACGCCCACCAAAACAAGCGGCATCGGCGCGGGTCGTGCGGCCGACCTGACCTACTGGGAGGGCGCCGCGCGCATGATCGCGAGCGTGTCTAAGAGCAGCAAGATCGTGGTGGAGAAGAGCACCGTGCCCGTCAAGACTGCAGAGGCAATCTCGAAGGTGCGGCCTGCATTCAGCATTGCACCGCCGCGAGAGCACGCGCAGCAGCGATGCGTGGGGACAGAGCGCAGGCGCTGTCCTGTCGAACGGCATTGTCCGGTGGCGAGAGTCGCCCCCCGCACGCTGGCTGCTGCCCGCCACATGCCCACAACCAGCCAACATCGCGCACGCCCGTGTCACCCTGCGGGCCCGGCCCCTGGACTCTCTGAAGGTGCTCCAGCGCAACTGCAGCGACCCCGGGGTCAACTTTGAGATCCTGTCGAACCCAGAGTTCCTGGCGGAAGGCACCGCCATGGACGACCTGCGCATGCCGGACCGCGTGCTGATCGGCGGCCAGGAGACGCCCAGCGGCCAGGCGGTGAGCCCGTGTTGCGGGGCCCGGGGCGCGGCAGGGCGGCTGCTGGCGTGGCGGAGCGCAGGGAGCGGCTAACACCTGTTATTGTTGCACGCCGGTCGTGAATCCAAGGCCCGCCATTAGGCCCTGCTGTGCTTCACCACACCTGTCATTGTTGCACGCATGCGGCGCGCCACCCGGCCCCCACCCTCCCCCTCCCCCTCCCCCGTGAGTCCGTGGCAGGCCCTGGAGAAGCTCAAGTGGGTGTACGCCCACTGGATCCCCGAGGAGCGCATCCTGCTGGCCAACTTGTGGAGCGCTGAGCTGGCAAAGCTGACGGCCAACGCCATGCTGGCGCAGCGCATCAGCAGCGTCAACGCCATCAGCGCGCTCTGCGAGGCCACCGGCGCCGACGTGTCGCAGGCGAGCGCCGCGCCTGCCGCCAGGGGCCGGGTTGCAGCGCAAGCACGGGCAGCTGCTCGTGCAGCGCGTGCCACGCATGGTAGAACGGACCTGGGCAGAGGCGCCACACACGCCTGCAATGGCGCATTCCAGTTCACGGTCGTCGTCGTCGTGTTGGTTTTGTCACGGTCTGCACCTCCCTGCCGTCAATGCGCTCCCTCGTGCCCCCCTCATGAAACGGCTCTAACCCTCGCAGGTGGCGTTTGCCATTGGCATGGACAGCCGCATCGGCCCCAAGTTCCTGCAGGCCAGCGTGGGCTTTGGCGGCAGCTGCTTCCAAAAGGACATCCTCAACCTCTGCTACGTCTGCGAGACCGTTGGGCTCAAGGAGGTGCGGGCCGCGGGTTGAAATCACGTGGTGGTACTGAATGCGCTGAGTAGCCGTCGCTATGCGTGAGTGGCTGTGTTTGTGTGTGTGAGTGGCTGTGGTTGTGTGAGTATTTGTGTGTGCGTGTGCGCACGCGCATGCGCGTTCGTGCATATGCATGCAGGCATGCACGTATGCATTTGTGGAGTGCACTGGGAGAGAGGGATTGTGTTTGGACCCAGTGCAGTTCATGCATGCGTGCACTCACCGATTGGGATCGTGCGTGCCAGCGGCGGCACCAACGGCTCGCCCCACCC